TCTGAGGCCCTTGCGTTGGAAACTCAGTCTTCCTCTTCTGACCCCTCTGGTGTACAAGCTCCACAGTGAGTGGGGCAGAACTGAATCAGTGCATGACAGTGAGACCTGCAGTGAAAGTCTGCTGCTGCAGGAAGTGCATGCTGGTGAATCACTGGAGACCACTCCTTCGTTGCAGTCGGCTGCAAGCATTGACTAAGCAGGGTGAGGCAAGCACTGTGCTCTTTTGGAAGAGCAGCAGAGTGCTGATTTGAATGCCTGGCAATCAATACAAAGTCTCTCTGGCAAGAGGACAGGTATTAACCCCAACATCTTGGCGCAGCACCAGCTCAAACCTTTGCTTCTTGCCACCTGAAATTCCCCTGCTGGGATTTAGGACCTTCTTTCCCATTTCCCACCCTGCCTAACACACCTGCGGCATTCCTCTGGGCTGTTGGAATCTGGTTGCGTTCTGTTCCACAAGGGTTGTGTTTCAGACCTTGGTTTCCATGTAAGAATAAGGGAGACTTGGAAGGTGAATTCAGAAATGCTTTTTGTAAGGTCCAGCTGCTGTGACCTTCAGTTTAGTTATATAAGTTGATGCAAAGACTATCAGTACTGATTCCTCTGACTTTTGCATCAGCCGTGATATTGCCACACTGAAGGGTGCCTCATCACGCTTGCTGCCAAGGGCTGTTTCAATGCCCTTGGGGTGAGATGAGTATCAGGGAACAGGAGGGAGAGAAATTGGTGAGAGACTCAGCCGAGGCAAGGTTGTGCAAAGCAGCGTGGAGTTCACATGGTTCTTAACAAAGAGGCATTGATTGGAGGCTCACTGTTGTGACAGAGCTTGCCAGGGCCTGGAGATCATTTCCAGAGCTTTCTATATGGGGGAGCAAGAACCAGATTTACAGGTGTGGGAGCCTTGATGTAATAACAGCACCTTGCGGGCTTTTAGGAGAAAGGGTTTTCAGGTTCAAGAGCCACAAGCTGCCACTTCATCTGCTCCCTCCCCAGCGCCCCTCACGCCCAAGGAGTCCAGACCTCCCTTCCCAGCCCATTGCCTGTGCCGCAGGGCACCTTGAGTTCTGCATGGTGCCCCCAAGGCCTTGGGTGACCTAGTAAATATCTGGGTTTGGGATCGTGGGGAAAGGCATCAGCGCAAACCACTTCAGAGGCCCAGGTGGAGGAGTAGGATCTCAGAGGTCTCCACTAATGAGGTCTTGGCACCAGCATGTCTTTGGCACTCAGCTGGGCCTTTTTTATTGCTTTTGGTCCTGAACAAAAGCTAACACCAAGAAACTAACGAGTAAAACACACCTCGGCAAGCTTCAACCCATACACCTAACGCTTCCGTGTGTGCTGGCTGCCCCTTGGGAGGTATCAGAGTGGATTGGTGGGCACTGGGAGATCTGGCATAGGCACCCCAAATGGGAGGATGTATCTGAGCCTTTTCCCTGCCACACCGACCACACCGATCCTTGAGCAAAGAAGCAGCAAGGCGAGCCCCCAGCGCTGCACATCCACACGCACCCTGCTTAACATGTTCAAGGCTCTCCAGAGGTTGATTAGGGACTTTATTTTCTCCTCCTCTCCCAGCCTTGCACGCTCATTACCATCAATTATCTATGCGTTTGCCCTGATGAACTATTGAGTGTGTAACGGGGCGAGGGAAGACCTGCCATCCCAGCTCAGTCACCTTGCAAGCAACTGCTCCCCAGAGCATGGCGGCCGCTAGTTTGCCCTCTGGCTTCTGCTTTTAGGATGGGAGCATGGAAGGCTAATCCAGCAACTTGCAAAACCCCTTTACTCCATCTGTCCCCCTTCCTCATCGCTGCTGTTGAGGTGCGGGTGTTGTTGCCCTGGTATGGAGCAGAACAATGGGTGAGCTGTTTTCCTGACGAGAGCCTTCGAGGAGCACAACAGAAAGGGTTCACCCTCTCTTGCAAAAGAGCCATGGGTTATTCAGTCACCTGGAAAGGAAACACGATTTCCGCACGGTGTTTGGGGTTTTTTTGGGGGTATTTTTTGTTTGATTTGTTTTGTTCTCGTGCTGTTTTTATTCTCCCCCGTTTTCCCCTGAAGCCTTTAGAAAGTTTGGAATGTGTTTTTGTTAAAGCTGCTGCATGTAGGAGCCTGAATCCCAGCTTTGGCAGCGTGGTGTTGCTGGCAGGCAGTACCTGAACTGGCACCAGCTTTTTCCCTAGCCAAAAGTTGGCTACACCTGGGCAGAGGGCTCTGCAAGGGTCTGGTTTGTCAGCACCAAAGCCTGCTTTTTCTCCAGTTCCTGTCCAAGCAGTCTGCACTGATACATGGACCCCATGGCAGTGGTAGGGTAGAAGGGGGAGAGCAGGAGTGGGAATTGTTTCCACTGCTCAAAGTCAAGAAAAATCACTTGATTTTTAAAAGGATCATTCATTAATTTGCAGGGAAATCATAGCTTGAAGAAAGGACATAGCAATGATAAGTGAGGGACTGGATTGATCTCCCTCTTGTGATGTATGTCGCATTCTCCAGCAGGCTGGCTGGCAATATCCTTATTTAAGAGGCATGTCTTAGGTACCCATCCTTGGGCAGCGGTAGCCTGCATCCCGGCATAGCCTTCTGCATGCAGTGCCTATCCACAGCCCTTGCTAGGGAGAGACCAGGCTGCTGCCCTGCATGGGAGCTCTGGGGAGATGCCGGTGGCTTTCCATCCGTCCTCTCTGGGGTTCGGCTCATCCCTCACTTTGCTGACTTCCTCCTGTCGCGAACGGGGCCTCTTTTATTGGGATGTGGAAAGCTGGGTTCAAAGGGAAGCGCTGGGGCCTGTGGGGGGTCAGGCAGCTTGTGTGGGAGCGCAGCCAGCTGCGCCATCGCCCCAGCCGTGGGCAGGTCCTGCTCCAGGGCATGGGCCCTTCATGAAAGAGGTGGGGACCGGTGCTGATGAATCCGCTCTGCTCCAGCCTTGGGAGAAAGAGGGAGTGCTGAGCACACCTACAGCAGGAGATGGGCGGCAGGTTGTTCCCAGGGCCTTTGCTACGTGATTGCTTTTGCTCTCCGGCAAGCTCCCACACGCTTTGTGAAGCTCTGAAGGCTTCCGAGCCAGACTGCTTGGCAAATGGTGTTGCTCACCTCCACGGGTGTGGGCACTTCTGCAAGAGCCTCTCACCTGCAGGGTAGAAGGAGCAGCACATGCTGCGTGTTGGAGGCATCTCCCCTCTCGCCATCCGTCTTCCTCTCATCCCAGCATAGCGTTATCTACATCCAGTGCCCTCATTCCATCAGGAAGGCTGGTGTGTGTTGGGGTCCCACAGGTCACGGGCTGGTCCGGTGTCGGAATAGTCTTCATGCATGCAGGCACATGAGGGCACCAGCGCTTTGCTGTGGCTGTGAGCGGCACTGAAAGGCATTCCTGAGCACCCAGCTGCGATGCTAGGGTGTGGGGCAAACCAGCACTTGACTCAGGGAAGGGGGCAAGTTCACACAAAGCTCTAGAGACTGAGTTTCGGTCTTAACTGCTGATGACTGTGGTCAACTGATGGCGTCTCATGGCCGGGATGGATTGTTGAGGCTTGTCCTCGGGGTCATAGGCGTGGCGTGGTGGGAAGGAGAAGGGGAGAAAGAAGAGGCTTAGAGATGAGATGTGGGGACTGAGATGAGGCGGAGTGCTGCAGGCGTGGTGTGAGAGGACAACATGGGAGCATGCCGAGGGGATGGTAGAGGTGATGCTTGTGGGTGAGGCTTTATGTATGCCTGCACTTGGTGTGCGTGTGAAGGTGCAGGAGGGAGACCTTGCTCAGGTTCATGTGTACATCACGGGGTACATCCACCAGGAGTCTGGGGGCATTAAGACTGAGGAATTCATCTTGGGCTTACATGAGGAACCTGTTTGTCCCCAGCAAGAACAGAGCATTCTGAAATGCTCTGTCCCCTCAGTTAGGAGATGTTTCTCTTGCCATAGTTTTTTTCTTTGCCCAGACTTTGTCTCTTTCATTACCCTTTCATGTTCCTCCCTCTTTGTACATCTTTCTTTTTTTATTACCCCTTTCTTTTCCTTTACTCTGTCTCCCAGAATACATCCAATTTCAGATTCTGCCAGAAGCAATGAGCAAAACCCGCTTTTCTTGTTCTTACCACCTTGCTTCTGTATTGCATTTATCACATAAATACTGGTTGTATAATTACCAGAGCATTATCTCTAAACATACAGATTAGGGAAAGACACAGTGGCAGTCAAAGATGAATTTCAGGGCCAGTCTGGTGGGAGCCCTTGTACTCCAGCTGTTAGGGAAGGGATCAGCTGAGACAGAATAGCAGTCAGGAACACCAGCCGCCACTTTGCTGAGCACCTTTCATCTTTACTCCGCAGGATGAAGGTGGAAGGTTCCTAAATGCAGCCACTTCTGGGGTTAATAAAAGGCCACAGAAACAATCTAGATTAGGCAGGTAGATCATGCAAGGTGCATGGGCACTGCTGTAAGTCTGTTCTTAGATGGGAACTATTGCCACTCTTTCAATCAGGGCTGAGTCTTAGCAGCTCGCTTAATTACTGATGCATTTGCAATAGGATTAAATGGATGTCTGAGTGTGTGTTAGCATATGTTAGGATATGCTGTGCTGATAAATATCAGTGCTTTCACGAACCTCCAGATACGCATGCTCTGCATATTTACAGCAACTGATCAAGTGTCACCCAAATTTGAAGACAAAAGGAAGGAAAGTGTTATCGATCCAACCTCACGCCTTTTGGTGACCGTGAACCCCAGCATTAGGGCTGGTTGTAGTGAAGTGTAAACACCGACTGTGGAAAGGAAGGTGTTTATGAACAGGAGTGAAGCTGCAGGAGGTGGAGGTGGATGCAGGTAGTCGCAGAAGATGATGGGTGCCTGTAGCCATAGATTGGCCTCATATCAGCCATGCGGAGAAGCAGACAAATGAATAAATGAAGGAATTCATGGGCGTGATGTCCAAGAACTGTTCTTTTGCTCACTTTCTCTGTCTGAGAAGCACGGGTATATTCATGTCTTTCTGTTTTATTGCAGGGCTGCAAGCTCAGACTGTCTTAGTCAATGACACAGTCTCGGGGTTTATCGGAACAGACGTGGTCCTGCACTGCAGCTTCACCAATCCGCTCCCCAATGTGAAGATCACGCAAGTGACGTGGCAGAAAGCCACCAATGGCACCAAGCAGAATGTGGCCATCTACAACCCTGCCATGGGGGTCTCCATCCTCTCGCCCTACAAAGAGCGGGTGACTTTCCGGAATCCATCCTTCAAAGATGGCACCATTCAGCTCTCCCGGCTAGAGCTGGAGGATGAGGGAGTTTACATCTGTGAGTTTGCTACCTTCCCAGCCGGCAACCGGGAAAGTCAGCTCAACCTCACTGTGCTGGGTAAGAGTCGTGTGAGCCATTGCCTCCAGTTAAACAGATCTGGAGGAGCCTGAGACTCATTTCCTGGCAGCTTAGGGCAGAGGTGAATCTTGGGTGTGAATTGCACCTATGGTGATCTTTCAGGTTGACTGTAAAGAGGCGAAGAGCAGGGTGGTCAGGGTAGGTGGTTCACTGAGCTCTCACAGGAATGCCTCTTCCTCTTTCCAGGCCTCAGTTCCCCTGCCTCTTAAATGCAGGAGCGATAACAGTGACCTGGTCCCTAAGGGAGTGGTGAGCTGTAGTGAGCCGGTGGCTGTCAAGAGAACAGAGAAAAGACAACAGAAAGATCCTATGCACAAGTAGAGCTTGTCCGTGGAGCTTAGGTTGTGAGTGCATAGACCCCACCCACAGTGTACGTGATTCATTTGCTCTCCAGTTTTGGTTTCTCATTCAAGCATAGCGCTGAAAACCTATGGCAGGAAAGGACTGACTTTCCATGGTGTATCTGTGCCTCTAAGGGACCTCCACCACTCTTTCTGCAGAGTAGGTTGCTGGTGGTTTTCAGCAGCAGGCTCAGTGGTGCTCGATGTCTCTTGGGTGGTAGCATTGCTTTCCTAACCCTTTTCTTCTCCTCCTTTTTGCAATTCCTTGCAGCCAAGCCCACAAATTGGATGGAGGGCACCAAGCGGCCACTTATTGCTAAGTCTGGCAGGACAGAAAAGATCTTGGTAGCTACCTGCACCTCCTCTAATGGGAAGCCTCCCAGCACTGTCACCTGGGACACCAAGCTCAAAGGGGAAGCGGAGTTCGAGGAGATCCGGAACAGCAATGGCACCATCACCGTGATCAGCCGGTACCGGCTGGTGCCGAGCCGGGAAGCCCACCGCCAGCAGCTCATGTGTGTGGTCAATTACCAGCTGGACCGCTTTACCGACAGCATGACCCTCAACGTGCAGTGTAAGTGAGCATGGGCAGGGCTGGAGAGAACGCTCCATGGCCAGGCCCTGGGGTGGGGATAAACCTGGCCAAAAAGGGGGTTGTTCTGAATGCAAGATGCTGGCCTGGTGCAAGGGTTGAAGTAGGGGCTGCTCTCTCCTTCTGGAGAGTGAAAGCTGAAGTGACGCCTGGAATAATCATATGCTTTCTCTTTCTTCTTCCCCTCTCTGCCTCTGCCATGTCCCTTTCTTCCTCCCCTTCTCTCTCTCTCTCTTCTTCATTCATCCTCTCTCACATTCCTTGTCCCATCATCTTTCCCACCTTTCAATCTCTCTCCATCACCTCTGCCCCCTCCTCTCTTCCTACTTAATTTTCTCCCTCTTCTTTTTCCATGATTCTTTCCTCTCCTTTTCCATCTTGCCCTTCCATCTTTTTCATCCCCTTGCAGATGAGCCAGAAGTCACTATCGAGGGCTTTGATGGCAACTGGTTCCTCAACCGGAAGGATGTGAAGCTGATATGCAAATCTGATGCCAACCCCCCAGCTCACACCTATGAATGGAAGCTGTAAGTGTCTACAGTGCTACTCCTCTGAGCAGCACATATGATCTTCAAACAGGAACAAGGAAACCTCAGTCACCCTCTGGTCAGTTAGGGCCTGGTCACATTACTGTCAGTGATGATGTCCAAGGTAAAACCTGTGTATGTGAGGGGAGAGCTGGTCAACTGCAGCCTCAATACCCTGGATAACTTCCTATTCTCACCCCACTGGAATAACATCCTGCTGTGGTGATGTGAAGCAGCTGAGATATGACAAGGTGAATAATTTGCCCAGCAGCAGTCAAGTGAGTCAGTAGGAGAGCTGAAAAAGAACCCAAGAGTTCCCTTCCTTAAAGGGGCACAAATAGCACCAAAATTATCTCCATGTCAAAAAGCCTTTCCCTGGAATCAGCCCCAGCAGTGAGCAGGAGCTCCCCCTTGGAACACTCATCCTCCTGTGACTGACATTAAACAGAAGCAATTCCCGATCCTTCAGGGTTTCAGCTTTTGCTTTGAACGCACTAAAGGGATTGAAGAGTGAGTGAGGGGTGTCTGGGGAGTCGGATGGGAATTGATGCAACCTGGTGTGGTTCTCTCTCCCTCTTTCTTTCTAGAGGCACTCGTGTAGCTTTAAAAAAGAAAGATCAAATGGATCCTTTCTTCTTTTCAGCTGGCATTTGTCATCAGGAAAGAGGCTCTCAAAATGGCTTTGTAAGGAGCTAGGCATATTCACTCCTAACTCTGCTTCCCAGCTCAAACTGTTCACAGTGAAAGGCTGAAGAGGATTGTTTTTCTTGCCTTCTTTCTAGTTCTTGTTCCCCTTTCTCTTGCTCTCTTGGTTCTGCCAGTTCGACTTAAACTCCAAGGGACTCTCTGGGTTCCTCGCAACATTGCCAGGGAAGCGGTAGAGGCAAAGATGCTCCTTGTGGCACCAAGGCAGAAGAGATTCCAGTTTAGGCTATCTCTGTGCAGCAGGACCGATGAATTGAGCTGAAGCAAGCCCTGTGAGATGGAGCTGGGGACAGAAGGCAGGGTTTTGCAGTGCTTTTGGGCAAGTCATTTCATCCCTTTGTTCTGCTATTGCTCACATCTAGGCTGGAGGCTGAATGCTTGCTGGGCTCCTGGGCACCAGGCTTTCTGCGGCAGGGGCTCTGTCACTGACCCTGGTCTCTGTTGGAGCAGTCTGCTCCTGCTACGATAGTGATGCTGAAGTCAGGCTGAGAGCTGAAGCACGGGGTCACCAGGTGCCAAATGTCTCAGCCAGGTGATGTCTGCAGCCCTGGGCAAGAAAGTGGTTTAGTTACCAACTAGGTTCAACCACAACAGGGGATGCAGGTGTTAGGGTTGAGCATGGCACTGCATGACTATTATGTGTCATTGCACACCTGGTTTATACACTGTGTGGGTAATAAAGTCAGCTCTGGCAGAAATGGATTCTTGGGAACAGCATCTCTGTGAGCCAGGCACTGAGTTGGTCCCCATGTGCTTATCTGGTTGATGCCTTTTTTGTCAACGCTGGAAAGAGTTCTTTTCCTATTGGATTCTCTATGAGCTGGGCATATGTCCATTTGTCTGTCTTTAGCCTGCAAGGGTTTCTTGACGTACAGCTGGGAGCATCAATACTTTGCTTTGAGAAGGAGCTGTGGGAAGAATAATGGAGAGAGAAAGCAAGGAGCTACAGAGTATGGGTTTCAAAGCCTGACAGTGCTTCAGCCTGATTCCCCAGTCTCTCTGGCACACTTGATGGGTCAGTTAGGACAGTATATAGGATTATTGACCTGAGAGGATGGAAAGGAACGATGGAGCTCAGCTGAAGATAAGGACAATGGAGGTGGAAGAAGAGGAAAATAGAGAAAGCAAGTGAGACTGGGGGGAAAAAGAGGAAGAAAGGAAGGAAGATGGATGATGTTTGGTTCCTGGTTGAAATGTAAAAGCTAGCCATCCCTGAAGAGCAACAGTCAGGGTTGCTGTTAAAGGAAGCAATAGCCTTTTTTAGCATCACACACCACAGATTTCAGATGTGCCCTTTAGTTCAGGGCCCTATAGGCAGAGGATCAACGTTAGGCTGTTGTATTCTAACATCTTTGGGATCATTGGCCTGATGTAGCTGAGAAAGACTTGAAGTGTTTGCTATACATATGTGCCTATGTGTACACGTAGACATGCAAAATATGTGCATGTGCATTTAGGCACTTCTTTACAGACCTAATTATACCCCCATTATTCCCTTTTGTTTCTTACAAATTGCTGACAATATGTGCACATCTTTGGTGGGAGGAGGGGAAAGAATGACTTGAGTAATTTTTAATTGCCTAAGAGAAGTAATTACTTTACTTTGCTTCAGTAATTAAGAATAACCAGGCCATGTGTGTCTTTTCCTAACACACAGGGGGGTTGGTTTTATTTCTTGTCTGATTTTGTTCATTCATTGTGTGTATCTCCAGATCTCCTTCTGCCTTATGCCAGTTTCACACCTCTTCTGACATGGGCAGGTCATAGGTGGCAGGGCTCTAAATCAGCACTGCTTTACTCGAGCTGAGTTGCAATTAACACTGGCTGATAAGCTGCCCAGGAGACTTCCATGGGCAGGAAACTGGAGTAAACCAGGGTCAGGTTGATGTCCCATTCCTGTGTATTCCATCAAATGCAAAGTCAGGCTTGGAGGTGACCCCGATATGTCCAATCTCCCTTGTAATCACAGAGAAAGGGGGGAAAAACCACCCCAAACAATCCATATAAAGACCCTGGTTCTCATCATTCAATGGATTTACCTTCTTTGTTTCCTCCAGGCCAAATGGGACTCTGCCAGGGAGCGTGGAAATCCAGAACAACACCATCTACTTTAAAGGGCCCGTCTCCTACAGCGTGGCTGGCACCTATGTCTGTGAGGCCTCCAACGCCATCGGTACCCGGTCAGGGTTGGTGGAAGTCAATGTCACAGGTAGGAAAACACTTGGTGTGCTTTGAGAGACGGAAGAGGAGGAGGAGGAGGTGGGGAGAGAAGGGTACGGGTGGCTGACAGCTACCAGTTATGTCTCCTTAATGTGTGCTTTAATCACCAGTGTCCCCTCATAGGGGTGGAATTTTCATGATGGGAAGGGAGCAGTGAAGTTCTTTGCTTGTCCTGGTTTTGGCTTGGATTTTTTCTCCTTTCTACTTGTTTTTTCCTTTCTTAAACCAAGATACATTCAATTTCCAACCCCCCTTGTCTTCTGCTTTGGATTCAGAGAGATTATTGGATAAGTCAGAAGCGAAGGCACAACAGGGAGACATCTGTTAGAAGGTAGAAGAAGGAGCAGGATGAGGATATGGACTACCACTGAGGCAGTAAAGCATGAGACGGATGAGGCAGTTGTTCAGGATGATGCCTGGTGTTCAGGATGATGTTTGGTGTTTGCGATGTTAGGCAATGCTCCTTCCAAGGCCAGGTTGGTCTGTGCACTTGCTCGTCTGACCGCCACACGTTACCAAGCAGCTGTGAGTAGCGCTTGAGCAGCATTGTCTGGGCTGCAGAAAGCAGTCACCTCACGGGATGCAGACAAGGTGGGCAGGCAGCACAAAGCAGGGCACGTGGCCACTTTTCCAGCCAGGCTCCCAGCAGGGACCATTGGAGCAGCCTGTGTCCTGCAGGTACCACTGACAGCAGTGATGCCTGCAAACCGGATGGGGAATGAGGTGCACTGGGGTCTTCCCAAGGCATGGGAAATACAGGAAAGGTGCTGGGGTTGTTACCCCTACCTGCTGTCCAGCCTGAGGCAAATCAGACCTGGTAGCAGGACACCTCCTTGAGCCACCCCGGTCCTGGAGGAGCTGCCTGACCTGGGAGTGATGAAATGGGCTTATCAGGGGAGGCAAGCTGCTGCTCTCTTCGCCCACTCTCTATAGTGGTAAGTGCTGGGCAAGCATAAAGAGGAGGCCTGGGCAGCTGACCTCCTGAAATTAGCAGTAACACTGTGTTTGGCACCCTCGCCACCTCTTCTGCAACATGGGTAAATAAGGCTAATCTTTTCTATCCAAGTGCTTGGAGGTCAGTGGATGGGATGTGCTAATTAGATGCTAATTACCAAGTATTTATTTATGATCATTATCAACTGTAGCAAGCCTTTAATTCACACCTCCTGTCCTGGATCCTTGCCTGCTGGTGTATGCTTTTCTCTGGGGGATATTTCATTAGCCAGTGAAAGGCAGGAGAAGAGCACAGCTCTTTGTTGGGGACAGATGTGGCACAGCACCCTTTCCATCCCTGCCCAACCACCCGAAGCCAAGGGGAAGGTCAAAATCCATTCAGCCACGGGCCATTTAATGGCAGTTGCCACCAAAGGCGCTGTGTTTCTGGGACAAGTGCCTGGTACAAACTATCAGACGTGCTTCCCATCAGCAATAGAAAACAATCCCACACAGTAACAAGCACCTTGGGTCACATTGGAAGCAATAACTGGGGGGAACAAGCCTCCTACCTCGGTCCCCAGGCGCAGAGGAGGAGGTGGGATGGGTATTGCAGAAGACGTAGAGGAATGGGCTCTCTCCACCATGACTCGTTTTCCATTTCTGCATAGAGTGTCCGTTTCTTGCTGTCGTTCTGTCTCTTGCAGTGTCAGGGCACACGTTCCGAAACACCAGATACAGCCTTGTCCTCGTATTTCCTTCTGCCACCTGCCAGCATCTTATCTGTCTCAGCACAATAGCATCGCAGCCTGACTTGCCTGCATGGGCACAGGCTCCTTTAGGGACAAGAGCCTGTGGGTTCCTCCTCTGGGCTTTAGGAAATGTCTCCCTTCCTGGTGTTTCTTTAGAGGAATGGTAGAGCATCCTCCTCATGCTGTGCTGGCAAGGGAGATGGGGTTTGGGGGGAATGATGTCGGGTTGATGTCTGCCTGCCTGTAATCTCAGTTTATTCCCAAAGGAGCGGGTTATGGGGTTTGAGGTTAAATGAGAGGGAAGGAAGGGCGCTCCCGCAGCTGCCTGGCTAGGAGGGATTACCAGGCAATCTGTCAGGCCAGGCCTCCACCACATAAAAAAACGCCTTTAATAATTCATGGGATCTGAATATGTTTATCCAGCTCTCCCTAAGGACCGATTAGGCCAGTGCTGGGGAGGGCTCAGCCATCCTCGCTGAGCTATTACAGGTACATTTGTTTGGGTCTTGCAGGCAATTTAGGGATTGTCAGTGGACCACGAAACCTCTTTCAAGAGCTGCATGCAATAAATGGAGTTCAATCTAGGGAGCAGCCAGCCTTGGGAGGAATAAAAACAGAAAGCTGATGCAGAGAAAACCCTGCAGCAGCTTTTCCCCCTCCTGTTTCCCTGGGTACAGACCCCCCCCCATCCCCTCCTGCCACACAGCATCCTTCCTCCCAGCCCTGGCTCCAGATAGGAGTGCAGGGATAGTTCAGCCCCTTCCTGGGGAGGGCGATTTGCTGGCAGGGAGAAGGCTGAGCACTTCTATTAGAGTTATAGCACATTGAAGAGATTGATAAGAGGAAATCTAATATTTTATTCCAGCAATCTGTTCCCATAATAGCTTCTCCTGCCTTGCAGGACCTTTGTCAGTTGCAGCCAAGCCATGTAGTGTGACATGTAGCTATTTATTGCAGGCGGTTAGGTGACTTCTAAAAGGCTGTGGTTATAACCTGCATGAGCATCCCTGCATGCCCGCACACACGTGCACATGTGTCATGTACATACACGTATGTGTGACCCCAGCCTGTATCCTGGCATGCAAACGGGCCTCCCAGACCTGCATGCCTGCAGTCACGCGTGCATGCAGGGTGCAAGAGCATCACATTGGCATGTATGTATTGGCTCCCACCTGCTTCCCAAGGCCAGGAAGGGGTTCTTTCTTCCAGGATACAGCAAGCTTATGGACACTCTGTGCTGTTCCCTGCCCAGGGCCAAGCTTTGCAGCCCTGGCCTTGGATGTGCAACATGCAGGCAGGGGCTGATGGCCCCCCCATTTGCTTGGCTTGCATCAGGGAGTTATTTGCACACCACCAGTGATCTCATCCCAGCAAGGTCACTGCAGACAGCCCGTGGGGCTCGCTGGAGCTCTCTGCCATGCAGCCCTGAAGAGGATGCTCGTTCTGGGGAGCGTTAAATGCAAGTGCACCCGAAGCCCAGATGCTGCACCAGCAAGTGTTTGCTCGTGGCTGCTTTAGATGGGAGGACATAGGGCCAGGGGCTACAGAGGAGCAAGCCTGGGGGTCTGGCTGATGCTAATCTTTGGGATGCATGGATGGAGCGTCTGCTGCGTCCTGTCTGATGGCGTCTGTGCCAGCGGGCCCCTGGGGGAGCAGCACTTGAGTGACAAGCGATGGGTGACCTGACAGAGAGATTAGAACCTAAGACACGTTTGGCATCTGGCCTGAAAGCCGTCACGCTCTGAAATGCCAGCGGCAGCTGCTGAACTTCTGGATTAGCTGCCAGTGGTTTTTCCATCCCCACTGCCTCCTCTCCCCATGACCCTGCTCCGCAGGAGAACAGAAATCCCTGGTAGGGAGAGGAAAAGCAGGATGCCTTGAAGCCAGCGAAGGGCATGCATCGGTGCAAAGGGAAGAAGATAGTGCTACAGGTTTCTGGCATTGCAGCCCTGGGATAATTTGGCATGGACTGGAGTGGCAAGGGAAGCTTTGCCATCAGCAAGCTGTCTCTTAACAAACCCCACACGATCACCGCTGTGTTTGCTGAGACCAGCTAGGAACTGGGAAGCCCCATTGGAATTAAGGTTGCCGGAGCCGCTGTTCACCCTGGCTATGCCCCCTTCTGCTTCCCATTGCGGTGGGTGTTTGGTTTTGCAAGGCAAGAGGAAATCCAATCCAGAGTCTTCCTCTGGAAGAGCTTCACGCCAGGAGCAGCTTGAGCTGATACATGTCAAGAAAGTGATTTCTTATGGAGTTTGACGTTGTCCTCAATGCCCATGGCTACAGCGAGAACCTTGGCTGGTGCTGGGTTTTTCCTTGGCGCTTATGATTGAAGGAAGAAGGATGGAAAGGTAACTTCAAGAAGCAGTGTGTCCACAGGAAATGGTATCTTTTCAAATATCGAAGCAGTGTGAAAAGCAGAAGGGCTTTTGAAAGCTGGTTTCCTGTGGATCTGCATATCCTAGAAGAATTACTTGATGTCTAAAAAAAAGCTTTTTCTGATCTGGGCCTTTCCTGCCCTTGAGAGCAGCCTCTTGTCCCCATGGGTTCTCTGATGTCTAATGAGGTTTAGCTCGCACCTCTACCAAGGATCCCACTCCAGCTCTCTCCAAGAGCTTTATGATAGGATAATTCGGGCTCATTCTTCTGTCAGATAGCACTGAAATTGGCCAGCAGGTTCAAAAAGCAGTAGATAAGGCAGGGTGATGGACAGGCAGGATGATTTGCATGCGTCTCATTCGCACTGGAAACGAGCCATTAGAAGAAAGACGTGGTTTTTAAACCCTGTATTTTGTGATGGGGAAGGCCTGGTTTGTCCCTGGGTGCTGATGGCAGCGGGCAGGAGCCGGGGCAGGGGGATGCTCGGAGCCTTGCATGGAGGGATGAGGAGAACCTGTGGGCTTGGCCCCATCTCCCTGCGCTCCCAGCTGCTGCCCCCGAGGTCCGGCTCCTGGCACGGGGACAGGAAGCAGGGCTGAATGCAACAGCTGGCAGAGCTGGGCAGCGGGCAGATAGTGTTGCTGCTCTAATTCCTATTCACACAGCACTCCCTCTTTTATGGGGGGGGGGGGGGAAGAGCAGGAGAGGGGGAGGCTTTTTATGCTGGCATTAAAGCCTGGCTTGTTCCCCCTCCCTCTGCTCTGCTGTCTCCTGTTTCTCCAGCCCGCTTTTCACAGCGGCTTTAATTCTCTGCAGGCTCTTCCTAATGGATTTCTCACATGGTGTCGTGTCCCCCCCCAGGCACGCTCAGGCTGCGTGCTGCTTCCCAGAGATTTCACGCACCCCTCGGACACAAAAAGGGGGA